GCCACTTCCAGCTTTTTTCTTTTTGCTTATGTGGTGCTGAGGAATCGAACCCAGGGCCTCATGCATGCAAGGCAAGCGCTCTACCACTGAGCCACCCTATTTTTGTTTGTTGTTTGCTTGTTTTGTTCTTCAGATAGTACCCTTTATTTATTCCACAGCCAGGATTCAACTGAGATCTTCTTCCTGTACCTCCCACCTAGCTGAGACCACAGACATATATCACCACATCTGGCTTATTATTGAGAAAGGGGGTCTTGCTAACATTTTGCATGGGCTTAAACTCCAATCCTCCCTTTTTCTACCTCTTAAGTGATTGGGCTTATAGACATGAGCCTTGTACTCATGCATAGGTGTATGTATTTGAAATATGTATTTTCTTTCTTCTTCTTCTTCTTTTTTTTTTTTTTGCTGATTGTGGGGCTTGAACTCTGCACCTGAGCACTGTCCCTGAGCTCTTCAGCTCAAGGATAGCGCTCTACCACTTGAGCCACAGCACCGCTTATGGTTTTCTGGTGGTAAATTGGAGATAAGAGTCTCATAGACATTCCTGGCTTTGAACGGCGATCCTCAGATCTCAGCCTCCTGAGTAGCTAGGATTATAGGCGTGAGCCACTGGCACCCAGCATTAAAATAAGTATTTTAAATATGAAGAAACTGAAGCTTAATGAAGTTAAGGAACAACTCATGATGTGACAAAGAAAAAGCTGACTGTCATAAACCCTATGGCTGTGGATTTCCCATCGGTAACTGCCATTCTATTCCTTGCAGCTTCACATTTGTAATTGGCCAAGTAGAAACTGAAAACAGGCAATTTGTCTATCTACAAAACAGGAGGAATTATAGAAGCCTATTTCCTAATCTGAAAAATGAGGATAGTGTCTCCTGGGGCCGACGTGATAATCAGTTAAAGCAGATGGAGTTCTTAGAGGAATCTTGTGTAGCAGACAATCTATGGAACAGAGTTCACACCAGAGTAGGCAGGCCACTGTGTGAAACAGATTACTAGAGTAAAAGCAGGGTATGCATGTAGAGGCCAAGGGACATCTCTAGATGAAGGCCTTCTTTGGTGCACCAGTTCAGTGGAAAAATGGGTTTATTTATTTATTTTGACAGAACTGGGGCTTGAACTCAGGGACTAGGCGCTGTCCTTTTGCTTTTGCAAGGCTGTTGCCCTATCATCTGACCTATATATACCCTGACGTGTCACTGGAGATAAAGGTCTCACAGACTTGCCTGTCTGAGTTGAGTTAGCACCTCTATCCTCAGATCTCAGCCTCCTAAGTAGCCAGGATTTACAGGTGTGAGCCACCAGCGCCTGGCAAAAAATGGTTCGTTTTTTAAAAAAATTCTGCTTTTAAAAGAACATCCAAGCAATCAGTGAGAGGAAAGTATGCAGTGTGCCCAGAGTGTAATGACTTACATTCCTACAGTTTCTAAGTGGTTCTTATAAACGTGTGTAAGCCAAGGAAGCAAGGCGAGTTGTGTGTTGCCGAGTCCTTTAAAATAGGGCATTGTGAATTCATATAGCAAAGATTTACTATGCATTACTCCAGGCACAGAGGAGGAATTAAGCATAACTCCTTTCTTAAGAATCTCTGTGTATATGAGGCAGATAAACACATAAGTGATAAAATTTCTATAATATATAAGATTGGGACTCACTAGCTTCAAACAAAGAACTATGGGAACTTTGTCATGCAAGGCGCATATTGGAGATGTTTAGGGTGATTTGGATAAAAATGTTCCCAAAAGGAGAACCCACAGAGTAATGCTGTGATTGTGGATTCTCATGATCACATGGTATCATCTATTATGTGTCCTTTTCAACACACACACACACACACACACACACACACACACACACACACACACGTGCATTTTCCAGGCTCCACAAACAGAAAAGATCCTTGTTAGCAGAAATGATGATTTGGTCCACATCTAAGCTTAATGGACACTTGCTAAGCTTGTTTAATTATACATAGGGTTGCTTGGACTAACAGCTTGTCATCTTAATTTTGTGTTCATGAGGTATAAACTCAAGAAAAAGACTTTGTAGGGACTGCTTGGGGTTTTGGTTTGTTTATATTTTTATTTATTTTGAGATGGTACTGGAACTTGAATTCCCAGCCTCATGCTCTTGCTTAGCTTTTTTACTCAAGCCTGGAGCTCTTACCACTTGAGCTACACCTCCACTTTGGGCTTTTTACTAGGCAATTGGAAATAAAAGTCTTCTGGACTTTTCTGCCTGGGTTAGCTTTGAACAGTGATCCTCAGGTCTCAGCTTCCTGTCTAGCTAGGATGACAGGTGTGAGCCACCAGCACTCGACTGAAAACTAGTTTTGCTACGTTTCTGAGGCCTTTGTAAAAGTCAGGGGCCCTCATTAGGAGCCAGCCATGGAGTGTTTTGCTCATGAAGGTGTGTGATGGAGCCAGGCAGCTTGGGTTTGAAATCCAGCATTGCATCTGGGTGCCTGGGTGAACGCTTCCTGGGTGTACTTTGGCTTCCTCTTGAAGCTGAAGGAGACCATGGCAGTGCCATCTCTCAGGGCTTGGTAGGGAGCTGAGGGGAAGGCTTGGCTCATGCAGATTGCTTAGCCAGTCCCTCCCACATGGGAGCCAGGAGTTAGTGTAAGCTGTACACTCTGTGATGAGGCCATATCATGTCTCAGCCTACACGGCTATAGATGCTTCTATTCGTGTTTCATTCACATTCCCAGTATAGCCTTAAACCAACACCCCTAGTACTAAGAAGGGAAGCTCAGGCCCAAAGACAATTAGGCATACATGTTGTTAGCTAAAGAACTTTGGATAGCATTTGTTCACTGTAAGAAATGTATTGGCTATCTGTTGGGCATTAGGCCCTGTGCTCTTGGGATATGGTTTGGGACATTTGGGCCTTGATCTGGCGAGATGAGTGCAGCAATGGGGCTGACCCTCTCTCCTCATGCAGCTACTTCTTGTGTGCTCATGGGCTGACTCCAGGTCATGGGTGGCTAGGCTGGAGGCCTAAGAGGTGCTGTATTTCTGAGAAGGTGCTCTCAGAGGACTGCGGGTGAATGATTATAACAAGCTCAGTGCCATCCTTGAAGCCAAGCCAAGATGACCCATCTGCATGTCTGTCCTCTGAAACACCCTGCATCTGTCTGCCTATGAGGACTGAGGTTTTGTTTTTTTACATTAACTAATTGATTAATTGATTTTTAATTTATTTTTATTGTGCTGATCCTAGGGCTTGAACTCGGGGCTTGGGCCCTGTCCTGAAGCTTTTTTGCTCAAGGCTAGCACTCTACTACTTTAGCCACAGCTCCACTTCTGGCTTTTTGCTGGTTAATTGGAGATAAGAGTCTCATGGATTTTACTGCCTAAGCTGGTTTTGAACTATGATCCTCAGATCTCACCCTCTTGAATAGCTAGGATTACAGATATGAGCCACTGGCTGCGGGTTTGAAGACTGAGTTTCAAATTACACTTTGAGCCATAGATGAGACTAGGTTTTCTCCAAATTCTCTGTAATATCTGGAACTCTTTGATCCCATGATGAAGATTTAGGGAGGAATTCTATTAATGCTCAGTAGGCTGTGTTTGTGTTCTTGAATTTCTGTATAGTTTTCACTGAGAGCATTTTGTTTTGAAGAAGATATGGTTTCAAGCTTTTAAACGTGAAATTTGTTTCAAGCTTAAGATATGATGAGACCTCATTTGTCTCCTTGGCTTTTGGTTAAGTTTGACTCTCTTCTCTTTTTGACCCACAGTTTGGGGCTACGGCTTCCTGTCGGTGACAATAATTAACTTGGCATCTCTCCTTGGATTGGTTTTGACTCCATTGATAAAGAAGGCATATTTTCCCAAAATCTTGACCTATTTTGTGGGACTGGCTATAGGGACTCTCTTTTCTAATGCAATTTTCCAGCTGATCCCAGAGGTAAGAAGATGAGCTATTTGTTTCTATGATGACTCGTTTCTTTCAGACGTTGGAGCGCTTGGCCCATTGTACCAATGCATAATGTTGTCTGGTTTATTGAGTTTGGGAGCAAGAAAATGGAATCACAGCCCCTGTAGACACTTGTCTCAAGTTCAGTGGCTGTTGCTCTTATAGGCAACATTAACACCCTAAGAGGCAAACCACAAACACGTGCTCACACGGTTCAGGGCACCTCTGCGAGCCTAACAACTTTGTTCTGCTTTGCATTCTGCAAATTTAATTTTTCTGCACAGAGATTCACTATTTTTTTCTAAAGAGATTGCAGTATCAAATTTATTGAAGACACACCACACGTTTCCCTCGTGTAATCACGACAGCGCTAGAAGACTAGAGAATATGTGTGAGTGTGATTGACCACTTGTTTCTTCTATTCACCTGAGGAAAACAAAAATCAATCAAGTGCCAATAAATAAAGAGCAACTTATCTTTTCCTTCTGATAAAAATGTGCTATTGGTCTGTCATTGATTATACTACACCAGTTGTTCAATCAACAAATACTGGGTAGGTTTTATTTCAGATCTATATTGTGGGCACATTAGAGAAAAGAGAAATAGAAGAAGGAAAGTGAGTGAGAAGAAAAGAAATGGAATGTTGAAAGGAAAGAAGAGAAAGACATTACCAGGAGTAAGCCACAGGGAACACTGGAAAAATCTGTGTAAGCAGGGACTGGTCTCCCAACACATTTAGACAATAAGTAAGGTTGCCTTCATGTTCCAATCTCTGTATAAAAGGGTATAAGGTGGTGCCAGTAACTCCCACCTGTAACCCTAACTACTCAGGAAGCTGAGATTTGAGGAATCAGAGTTAGAGGCTAGCCTTGGCAGAGAAGACTATGAGTCTCCATCCCAAAAGAACAGAGCTGAAGCAAAACTCTGGGCTAGAGGCATGGTTCAAGTGGTAGAGCATCACCCAAGCAAGCAAGCAAGTACCTGGCCTTGAATTCCAAACTGGAAAATTTTTTTCTTTTTTCTTTCTTTTTTTTTTTGGTGGTATTGGGCTTTGAACTTAGAGTCTTATGCTTCCTAGGCCTCCAGCTCATTTTTTTTTTCTTTGAGATAGGATCTTGCTTTCTCTGTAGGCAGGATCTTGGACTTGAAATCTCCTATTTTATGCTCCTATACTGTGTGGACAGCCACACACCTCCACTCACCTTGCCAGATCAAGGCCAAAATGTCCCTAACAGAATAGATATTGGTAACATAGTTGGGGTGTCAGGTAAGAACCACTATGACCAGTTTTTTTTCTCATTGAAATGAAATCTCACAGACTTTTCTGCCTGGGCTAGCTTGGAACCATGATCCTGACAATCTCAGCCTCCCAAGTAGTGAGGATTACAACCACTGGTGTCTGGCAGAGAATATTACTTCTTAAGGTCATAAATATTATTATTGTCATTATTATTTGATCTAGAACCAAGAAAGAACATTTATTATAAATCCTCAATTGTAAAGAATAGAAAATTAAATGACTTGAATTTAGCCAGATAATTGGTTTTAACCCAGCTAGTGTGACAATACACATTTTCTCAGTAAGAGTACATTTTGATTTATATATTTAATATAAGTAAAATTCTGTGAATGTATGGGTTATTTTGCTTGCATAATGAGTCAAACCAAGTCACATAGACTGGACTGGAAATGTATGTCAGAGCTGTAGTGTCTCCTTGTGTGCACCAGGCCTTAAGTTCAAGTTTCAGCAACAAAAACAAATAAACAAGCATGAATATTGTATATGGGCTTCAGACTCTCCATGTACAATTTAAAGTGTTCTATTTATTGAAAATGTAGCCATATCTCAAATTAGCACAGAATTCCATGTTTTTGCAACCTTTTTTGTCTATTCCTTTCTATCTTTATAACCTCTGTGTTAGTTGTATGAAGGAAGTATTTTGTAGGCCATCTTCGTGCAGGCTGAGCAAGCACAGGGGCTGGGCATGGAGCATATCTTCCTATTTCCTTTATCTTTATGGTGTGTTAAGGACACCTTGACTCTCTAACCTCAAAGTCTTAACACTTGTACTTTTGTCGGTCTCATTGTGTGTGTGTGTGTGTGTGTGTGTGTGTGTGTGTGTGTGTGTGTGTGTGTGTGCATGGTAGCAATCTTTTATTAGAAAATGTAAATTCATTGTTATGATTAAGATGTTGTAAAGAAGGAGTTACCATTTCATTAGGCAGGTAATGACTACATTTTTTGGAGGGGAGGACATTGTCAGTTCTTCCTTTGCTTTCCCTCAGTTTCCCCTTCCCATTTCTGTCTACCAATTACATAGTCCATTTTCCACAGAGTATATGCTGAATAGCATGATTGCATTTGTTCACCCTCCCTCCCTCTGTTTTTGTGCCCTTTTATGCTCCCCTAAGAAATCATAAAAACCCCCACCACCACTATCATCGTCGTCATCATCATCAACAACAACAAAAAAATCCCATGTTTCCATTTCTTAGAATTCCTTTAGATAAATAATATTTTAAATGTTCAGAATAGTTATACCTTTGGGTTCCTCCCTGGGTGTCCTTTTTGAGTTTGACTGTGTGTAAAGGCCTAGAGTCCTATATAGGTTATCATGTCCAGTTATATTTTCGAGTTGGCTTTCACATATGAGAGAAAATCTGTACCATTTGTGTTTTTGAGCTTGGATCACCTCACTTAGCAAAATTTGTTCTAGGTCCATCCATTTCCCTGCAAATGCCATAATCTTATTTTTCTAATAGATGAGTAAAATTCCATTGTGTGGTAGCAGTCTTACATCTTGCTTAGTTATTGGTCTTAGTCCTTGATTTTTAAGGCTCGCTAGAAAAAACCTTCACTCTGTATTTGCCTGCTGTATTTGCTTTAAAACTTTTTGTCTGGATATGGCTGGCAAATATATTACTTTTGGAGATGATGGGTAATGAACATGTCCTTTACCTTCATTACCTAGGTCTAATACAATCTCTAAAGATGGGAATCAATGCAGGTTCTGTACTATGAGCGCTGCTCTTACAAAGCAAATATTACTGTAGATGGTGCAGAAAGGACACTGTTAGATCCTCTGCTGGCTTTATATTGTGAGCCTTCTGGTGACAAGATTTCTATGCTATCCCTGCTTTGTGGTTGTTTATATTTCACAGTATTTGTGGTTTGGAAGGTAATTTCCCAGTGTGACTGGATGTGAGGCTGGACCGAACAACGCTGGTAAAAATTGTATACTGGGAAATTCCGGTATTAGTATTTTTCTAGAGGTCGAGTTAAATGACTTGCTTTTACCTATATTGCCTCTTTTCCTTTCCCAGGCCTTTGGATTTAATCCCCAAAGCGACAACTACGTTGAGAAGGCAGTTGCTATCTTTGGTGGGTTTTACCTACTTTTCTTTTTTGAAAGAACACTCAAGATGTTACTGAAGACATATGGTCAGGTAAGAAGGCTTGACTGCCAGCATTTGATGCATCCTACCCTTGGTACCTCCTGAATATAGTCAGGAAGATTTACCCTTAGAATTATTTCAACAATGAAGTTATGAAAAGAAAATGTCAGTATAGTGATAAGTATATGAAAAACACTTGATTTCCATCACAGAATCAAGGAACAGGCATAAAAATATCATGTGTTGTTTTTTGTGCTAGAATTGGGGTTTGAACACAGGGACTCTCACTCTTCCTTAGCTTCTTTGCTCAAAGTTGGTGCTCTATCACTCAGCTTTTTGGTATTTAATTGGAGATCAGAGTCTTGTGGATTTGTCTTTCTGGGCTAACTTTCAAAATTTATTCTCTCATCTCAATTTTCTGAGTAGCCAGGATTACAGGCATAAGCCATTGTTGTCTGGCTCAGGTATAAATAATTTAATGTCAAAAGCAAATGTGGGTAAATTGGATTCCATTCATATTCATTCAGAAGGAAAGGTCATTCATCAGAGGAAAAGAATGGAATCCAATACATGAGATTACATTTGAAGAGGGAAAAACTTCATCCTGATATATCTATATCTATGTGTATGTAAACATAGATATAGATATGCTACATCTATGCATATAGGATCAGTGAAAACCCCTTTTTACAAACAGAACCATTACACCATTTTGAGCTATCAGATTTTCTTCTTATAAGCTCTTCATCCTTGGTTCCTTTGATTTCCCATACAGAATGATCATACTCATTTTGGAAATGGTGACTTTGGTCCTCAAGAAAAAGCGCATCAACCTAAAGCCTTGCCTGCAGTCAATGGTGTGACGTGCTATGCCAACCCCGCTGTCACAGAGCCTAATGGACACATCCATTTTGATAGCGTCAGTGTCGTGTCTCTCCAGGTATATCATACTGCATGCTTTTCATTATCTATGGAATACTGTGAATGCAGCCAGGTTGGTATTTTATACCTTTACTTGTGCCAGACTTAACTTCTGTACATGTCAGTAAGTTCATTGTAAGTCTCCGTTCTTCTTCCTCCCTTCCCCTGTAGGTTTACTCTAAATGAGTTAATGAAGAGATTGTGAATGACTGGATCTAGGGCTCCAGTGCTCCAAGATTACTTAACTATATGAGAGTCTGTCGAGAAAATTTATAGAATACATGTAGCAAACATCAGAACATTTCTGTTATTGGATTCTGTTATTGCAATTGAGTGATTCTAAAATTATAAGAATGATTACAAAGCTATTAAGCTTGTGTTCATTAACTTAGAGTTTGTGTTTGTGACTTCTGACAATATTAATGGGAACTATTGCTTGAGCAAGTATTTCTGCTAGGTAATATGCTAAGTAATTAATGATTTCCTCTCCTTTACTTTTGATAACAACAATTCAAGGTAGGAATTTTTTCTCTCTAGGAAGTGTAACTATTTTGGTTTTGAGCTATGGAAACCAAACTCAAATTGTTTGTAAATAAAAAGGTTACCGGAAAGAGACTGGGATATGTAATGGAAAATGCAGACTACTCATTCTTAATGAGTAAAAACCCAGAAACTATTACAACTTCAGGATCCCTCCTTTTCTGGGACATATTAAATTCATTCCTTTCTTTTACTTGACCGTCTTCTACCAAGTGGGACATGTTAGTACTGACCGCTCCCAAGATTTATGTTTTATAAAGCCAGTTGTTAGAAGGAAATTGACTTTTCTCATCCCTACATTCAGAGTTCCTGTAAGTATATTTCTGAGGTACACTTAGATGATTGCATCTGGGCTAATCTAAGTGTTTAGATGATTGGGCCTCTTGTCTGGCCCCATAGGGGGAGTCTTAATGGAAGAGAAGTTATTAAAAAGGAATACTTATATGATAGTGTCAGTGGTGTGCATCATAATTCTCATTGGACAGGAAGGAAGTTGATCTTTAGATGTTAAATAACATTTCCTGTATTACTCAGCTAGTAGATGGCAGAGACACAGCTACAAAGTTAAATGCAATATAAAAGCAAACAATTGCAATAAATAAGAAGGCCAACCAAGGAAACAAAGCAAGCAAGAGCTAGCTGGAAGAGGTTATTATGACAAATGACCTGTGTTTCCTTCTGAAAAGAAAATATGATCCATCACCTACTTTCTTCCACCTGCTGAAGGAAAAGTCTCAAGTGTGTTTGAAGAAGAAATTCGTATTAGCATGAAGGTAGCAGGGAATTATTTTATGTAAGATAACGAATGATGCCTTTGGCTCAGATTTTATGAAGTGTCTGGGAATGTTCAGTAGACAATTTCAGTATTTTTATTATTAATGCTAACCACTATGTGCAGAACATTAGATGAATTACCGTTTGTGAGCTTCAGAGCCTAGGGGATGAGCACTATTATAATTAGGAGACTATGGCTCAGAGTTCAACAAACAAACCAAAGGCACTCAGCTTCTAAATAGCACAGTTTACGTGAATGAGAAGGATGTAGGATCCTAAAGCCTCCGTAGTCACCCTTCATTCACTTCATTGTGTTGCTTTACTACAAGACCACGTGAACTCTTCACTTTGTCAGTATTTATTTTTGTCAGGGACAAGATAGTTTGGCCCAGTCACATTGCTTGTCTTTGAGGATACAGTTCAGTACCGGGAGAACCTAGAGAATGACAGAACTCTTCCTTATACTATAAGTCTAAATTCTAGTTGCCTTAGGAAAGTTTTGGTCAATCCTTTGTCGTAGTGGCATCGTGTTAAACTCTGATGGTGAGTCAAGCAGTATCAGTTAGTTGTGTTGCCAACTTAAATGCTGATGAGTAATTCTTCATATGTCAAGTGACAAACACAGTAAAAAAAATCTAAATATCCATCTTCAGCACTAAACTTCACTCCAGACTTGCATTTGCTTTGTCCTTACATGAAGGTCTCTAGTTCAACATCCCCCAGCGGGTGTGTCTTATTTTTGATGACTGTCTTGCAGCATTAACTTAGAAGGAAGATGCTATGAGTCCAGGAGTTTGAAACCATTCTGGACAACACAGTATGACTGGCTCAAAAACTAGTTTATTCTGAACCAACTAGGTGACATTGTGTGGATACAATGAACACATCTGATAAATTTATACTTTCCTCCTTCTTCCATTTTTCTTTGCTGGTTTTTTATTTTTAATTACAGTTATATAGTCACTTTTCAGGAAGCAATCTCAAACTTTTTATGCTTAGTTATGTACAGATCGCTATTTAAAGGAAAGCTTCAGTTGGGCACTGGTGGCTCACTCTTGTAATCCTAGCGACTCAAGAGGCTGAGATCTGAGGATCGCAGTTTGATGTCAACCTGGGCAGGAAAGTCCAATAAACTACTCAGAAAAAGCTGGAAGTGGCACTGTGGCTCAAGTGGTAGAGTGCCAGCCTTGAGCAAAAAGAAGCGTAGGGATAGTGCTCAGGCCCAGAGTTTAAGCCCCAGGACTGGCAAAAACAACAACAACAATAACAACAAAGCTTCTTCTACTGAACCATCTAGCTGCTAGAATCAACTTATGTATTTTCCCTCAAAGACTACAATGAGAAGTTAAAGAATTCCCTGCTTTCTCATTATTGTTTACTGTTTCATGTAATTTTCCTAGAAAATAAAGTTTGGTCTTAAAACTTGTAGTTCATTTAGTAATAGAGACATCTTTCTGAACTAAATGCCTGCCAGCCTGCCATTGATCTGTCAGATAGATTAAGAGAATTTGGAACATCCACTCTCACTTAATGGAACAGAATTTTCAAATCTAATTTAATTTGCCACTTGAATGATGAGAGTAGCAGGCGCTGCACCAGATTCTCCAATGGAGTTGTCTAGCTCTGCACCCAATAAGTCCAGTTGTATCTGTCACAATCTGACACACTCAGTTTATTTGAACGAACACAAATATGTGTATGCCTTGATTATGTAGGAAGGACACGCAATTGTTTCATTATTGAAATGTTAGAGCCCATCACATCTCTTAAAAAATCAAATTAGGGGTTACAGTTAGTGCTGTTAATTTTTCACTATGGGTATAGGAATGTTATAACAGGTTAAGTGTTAAGATGAAACATTTAGTGGTGCAAAATGTAACGAGTCATTTTAAAGATTAGATAGAGCAGCAATGAGAGCTGTCAGATTAACTGAGCTCAAGTTAAGAATTACTTTTACTTTGTCAGGCAAAACCAAGTATTGGATATATAAATTTAGCAAAAACATTTGGATTCTGAGCATGAGGTAGAAGTCAGGGCCATCTGTGGTGACTTCGTGCATCAGCTGACTATTTGGTTAGCCAGGAAATGCCAGTTCTTCTCCTCAGACGGGAGATCAGCTTAGTAACATAACTACATGAGAAGCTTAAAGTGGCTCTACCACTCTCAGGCTGACCAGGATGAGTAAATAAGACGATGTCTATGAAAGTACTTCCAAAGATTTGAATGTCTCTGCTATTTGGCCTGTGTGAAGGACTCTTCTTTTTCTTGTCTCCTTATATTGGCAAAGATTCAGAGAATTAATGATAAACTCTTATTTTGTCTTGTTCCTGACATTTGAACATGGTTTTAAGTCCAGCATGTAGATTTCTTTAGTTTTCTTTTTTAAAGAAGCACCTCAATTAGGCTAAGGAAGTTCCCTCATACCGGGATTTTCTGAATGTTTCTGAATATGTTGGATTGTTCTTGCAAGTATGGCAAGCCTATACTTAATTATTTTCCTTACTTCCAGAGTTAGCCTTAAAGCAGGATGAAAACTAAGGGAAGAAATGAGTGCATTTTCCTCATAAAATTGTGTTGTTTCTAAATTATAATAACTTTTGATCCACATCTCCCATTTTCCTAAACTCTCCTTACCTCCAGTCTCTGGTAACCACCATTCTACTCTGTCCCTGTAAGACTGACTTTTTGATGCTGCATATAAGTTAGATCATGAAGTATTTGTCCTTAAGAACCTCATTTAATATCCTTCCAGTTATTCATGTTGTCTTGCAAATGACAGAATTTCCTTCGTTTTAAAGATTTTTGGTATCTCTACATTTGTTGATGAATTATGATGTTGATTTACTTTCCCTTCAGAACAAATTTCCCAGTATCAGGTTCATTAGAAGAGATGTTGAGCCAAGTATCAGTGTTTCGCACCTGTACTCCTAGTTACATAGGCTGAGAACAGGAGGATCTTGGTTTGAGGCCATCTTAGGGAAGAAGATGTTTAGTAACACCTCCTTTTCAAATCATAGCTGGGGGTAGTAATGGTGCATACCTTTCATCCCAAGCTCTGTGGAAGACTGAGATTGGGAGGATCAGGGTAACAGAAAACCTGGGCAGAAAAGTCTGAGAGACTTCATCTTCACAGAGGTAGCCTGAACACAGTGGTGTGCATCAGTAATTCCAGAGCCATGCCTATGAGTAGGTGGACCACGGCTCAGGTGCATATCAAGATAGGAAGCACAAATTTCCATGTATTAAGCAGTGCTGTTTTCAGAGTCATAAGAAAGAATAAAGGAAATGGTGGTCAGAGGATGGGGTTTTTCCTTTTGTTATGACCAGATACTTAATATAAACAACTTAAAGGAGAGGAAGGATTTGTTTTGGCTCCTGGTTTCAATGATTTTAGTTTATCCTTGCTTCTCCTAATGTGCTTGGGAAGAGCATCATGGTGATGGGAACATGTGGCAGAAGAGGAAGTTTTTACCACATGGTGGACAGGAAGTAGAGACAAGCTAGGGCCAGGGACAACATACCTGGTGGGTCTAATCCAATGACCTACCTCCTCCAGTAAGTCCCACCTCTTAAAGTTTCTAAAACTCCTAAAATAACACCACCAATTGGAGAGGAAATTTGGGGTGGGGTGGGGGGCAGGCATTTCATAGTCAAACCATAGCAGGTAGTGTGAGGTGGTGTTTGTAGAACTAGCTGTGAATAGAA